GTTTGGTAAAACATCAAATGAACTAAAAATGTAGCAAGCTTTACATGATTTCTCATAGTGGTACGAATTCAGATGTGTAATACAATTTATTACGTTGCAATCCTCAATAACAAGCATTAATACATTCTTCATGTGTTCTAAAATTGTTTCTGTTCCCCTTACATCCACCATAGATGAATGCTACACATCTCTGGCTTTCTTTGTCATATGCAAACCTAGAAGAAAAGAATAGAATAACGTTTTATAGCATTCTATCATACTTCTCCATAGCTTTATGATGAACTCAAAAAAAGTGGGACCATTATAAACTTGCAAAATCCCACTTACCTCGTAACGTTGGCAAAACATGATCCCCTATCAATAGGATGGCAACAAGAAGAACGGAAAAAAGCTAAATTTCTTTTTAAAATTGTTGCTCCCCGTGTTCAAATTGTAACCCTGTTCACCTTTTCTCGTAGCAATAACAGCTGGTTCCGTCACACTTATAATGTGAGTTTGGTCGTGTGCAAGCAAAGAGTCAAAATCTCCTTCGACTTCGCAAACTTTCTGACAAGATTTCATACTAACAAAATTGTTGTCATTTCCGTAGCATCCATTGTATACAAATCTAATGCAAGCACCAGCTAGGGCATCGTAACCGTAACTGAAAAGTATTTTTATAATCAAAAAGCTATCGGCTAAAATCACTTATAGAATTGCTGCCGCATTGTGAACAAATATGTTCAAAGACAAAGTGCAATTCTAAATCACATATTCACTATAATTTATCTATTTTAATTACATATTAATTTTGCGCTTACTCTGCAAAACGTCGCAAATCCTTATTCAAACTTTCATGACCTGCTTCAACAAGTGTTAATCAGAATTCTTTTTTTCACCATTTCATTTTCAAAAACATATTTGAAAGCGAGGAGCTGCAACAGATGTGGAGAACTATGTTTATATTACAGCGTGTTGTCATTAATGCTTGAATACAAAAGACTTAGTACAAGTTGTTGATTGATCTCTTGTTGTTAAAAGGTATCGAAAATTCTAAAAATATTTCTAACGCCTATAAATTTCAATTTTGCATTGCTTATCAGAAATTTGATTTATTCTAGAAAGCAAAATTAAAACTTTTTGCAACCATTATCGCTTAAATACGAACTATGAGGTAAAATCAACCTCTGACCGGGAAGCATACCGTATCATTGTTTTACCACAGCGTCCATTGTCTATTCCAAGAAAGCATATGCGACGAAGTGGATTTACTGGAAAATTTAAAATTAATTTGAAAAATTCTTTACTAATCCTTTCCATCATCTTCACCGCAAGATTGCATTAAATTTAACTTACTTCGATCTGACATCATAACTCGGCCTTTAAGGTAACTTTCACAAACACGCTGGCATTGCGATAACGTTTTGAAATTGTTGGAATTACCCTCACATCCTCCATAAGTAAACTCAACACATTGTCCTTCATCAATATCATAGGCGTATCTTAATAGACGAGAAGGATATATATCATACAAAAGTTTAATTATGATACTGACCGAATAAGAACGTCTTCGCATGATCCTCGAGCAATAGGTTGGGCACAAACCATGGGGAAAACATTATAGCTAGTCACTAAAGCACATTCTTTGCAGAAGATTCGATAAGGAAATGATTTTTAACAACCTTGACCAGTGCAGATAAAGAGAACTGC